TTGTGCCCTCATCACCTTGTGCTTGGAATACTGCAGTATGCTATATATGGAGATGCCTCTGAAGATGCCTCAGAAGCTACAACTGCTACAGAATGGGACCGCCAGACTAATAATGGCAAACGTTGCTACAGTAACAGTTACACTTATTTTAAGATTACTGCGATGGCTGCCACTACGTTTCTCAGCCTATTTCAAAGTGCTGGTTATTATCTATAAAGCCCTATATTGGGATATATCTGAGATTGCCTTACAAAGCATGACACTGCTGTCATGACACAGCTGTCTTAGTTTGTCATTTAGTGGCCTGCTGAGATTTCATCTTTCAAGAGTGATGCAAGGGATGTGGATGAAATGTCAGGTTTTCTCAGTAATAGCCCCCTAAAGTTTGGAATATACTGCCTCCAGAAGTAGAGTTGGCCCTGTCTCTCCTCATGTTTAGAAAGGACCTGAAAACTGTTATTTGAATGAGTCTCTGGCTCACAGTGTGGTTCTGGGCACCAGATGGGATTTGGTTTTATTATTAGTTATTAGTTAATAAGTTATTGTTTCAAGAACTACATATTCCAACTACATGGTCCACCTACTGTTTATCTAGATGGATTTGTGCAAAGGCTCTCTTGGGCTACAGCTGTCACTTGCTTTTCTAGCTAAGAATCCAAGAAGAGTCCCAAACTGTCATCAGTTCTGCCTGGAGGTGTGCAGTTCCAAACTGGGAGCCCTAAACAAACAACTTGGTCTTTTTTGGGTTAGGCCAAAGCCTGTTCTTCTCCATCCATACTAACACAGCCTACAGACACTGTTATTTGAAGGATTACCTCTCCCCTATTATGTCTATATACCCCATCAGGTCCAGAAGGAGAGTTTGGATCCTGTTTATTGGGGAATGGCATTTGGCAGGGCCTAGGAAGAAAGCCTTTTCTCTCATAGTGCCTGCACTTTGGTACATCATCCCTCAAGAGATGAGATTAGCCTGAGTCTACTGGCCTTCTGTGAGTCTCTAAAAACATGGTTGTGTCACCAAGCCTGGAGATCTGGATGTGTGGCAGAGCCTGTGGGATGGTTGTGGTGATGGTTATGATGGCTTTTTTCCCTAGATGCAGATGTGTATTTATGTTGATATTGTTATTTTTAATTGTTGTTCGCCCCCCAGAGTCATGAGGTAAGATGGGCAGCCATATAAATTGAACAAAATAAAATAAAATAAAATACCTTGGGGGTATTACTTGGAAAGCCTAGGGTGGAGATGTATAAGTGGATATCATTAGGATACTACTGAAACCTGAACCCATGCTGATGGATGACTTCACCAAGTAGCTTCATGTGGATGTTAAATAGGACCAGAGATAGTACAGAACCAGAGATCTAGGGCTAGACTTCTCCCCAATTAAAAAAAAAAAAAACTGACCACCCTAAAGGAAGGAGAACTACTACAATACCATGTCCTCCACTCCTAGCCCTTGAAGACAGTCCAGAAGGATACCATATTTGATGATATCAAAGGCTACTGAGAGATGAAGGAGGGCCAGGATTGAAGAATCCTCATCCTTGCAGTCCTCCACAGGTCATCAACAAATGCAGTCAGTGCTTTCTTAGTACTGTATTATGCTCTGAATCCTGAAAAGGGTACAGATAATCTGGTTTGTCCAGTACCCCCTGAATCTGCAAATTGACCATATTCTCAACAACCTTCCCCAAAAAGGTAAAATTGGAGACCCAATTAAAATTGTGCAGTATCATTGGATACAAAGAGAGTTAATACCCCTAGAGCTTAAGCTCTTCAACAGACTCTCACAACCAGTTATTTGTGGAGCAGCACCTCTGAAAGCCACCAGATCTCTTGTATGATTATAGCTACTCCACCACTTTTTCTTGGGATTATGATTGCTGCCACATTCAAAAATTAGGTAGGCACATTTCCAAGAAGCCCCCCCCCCAATATCCAGCCAGGAATTAGTAATTTATGCCAGGTTAACCCTCTCATCCAGTATTGGATCATAGATGAGGAATGCCTTAAAACAGGATGACCTGGCATTCAAAAACAACAGCCCAAAGCCAGGATCACTGATAATCCAATGACCAGACATTGGAGCTAAGCACAGGGACTAAAAAATGGAACCTGTATAACACACTAAGACTGCTTCACTAAGAATGGCCCACTCCCTGTCCTTTAATCCCTCAGACATACTAGGCCTCCATTCACTGTCCTTCTTCCTCCAAAACAAACACCTCCAATTATTACCCCATTGCCAGAAACATCCCACTAGCTGGCTAACTGGTTCTTTGGGATGCTTTTGTCCAAGCACTCAGCATCCCTACTCCTATTAATATTCAATTGGCTCTTATACAAACTATGTAGATTGTGGTCTGTACAATCTAGCATACATCTGAATTTGTTTTGTATATTTTACCTTAAGCTGTTTTGTTTCTTCTTTCTTGATACAGTGCTGCTTAAAAGTTTATAACTCTTGAATTTTCAATATTTCTGCATAAATATGTCCTAAAATATTATTTGTTCTCCAGATAAGTCCTAAAACTAGATAAAGAGAACCCAGTTAAACAAATGAGCAAAAAATTATACTTGTTCATTTATTTATTGAGGAAAATAATCCAAAACTGCATATTTGTGTGTGGCAAAAATATGTGAATCTCTAGGATTATCAGTTCATGTGAAGGGAAAATTAGAGTGTTTCAATCAATGGAATGATAATCAGGTGTGAATGTGGAGATCCTGCTTTATTTAAAGAACAGAATTCTGGGTATTCACTATCAATGTCTGATCTTTACAACACAGGTATGTGGAAGTGTGTCATGGCTCAAGCAAAGGAGATTTCTGACGACCTCCCCCCCCCTCACAAAAAAAGGTTGCTGATGCTCATCAGGCTGGAAAAAGTTACAAAACCAGAGTTGGAACTCCACCAGCCCACTGTTAGGTAGATTGTGCAAATGGAGACAATTCAACACCATTGTCACCCTCCCCAGGAATGGTTGACCAACCAAGATCACACCAAAAGCAAGGTGTGTAATGCTCCAGGAAGTCTAAAAAAAAAACACCTGGGTAACATCTAAGGAACTAAAGGCCTCTCTTGCATTGATGAATGTTAGAGTTCATGAGACCATCATCAGGAGAATACTGGACAACAATGATGTACATGGCACAGTTGCAGAAGAAAGCCACTACTTTCCAAAAAGAAAGTTGCTGCCCATCTACAATTTGCAAAAAAACATGTGGACAAGCCAGAAGGCTAACCGGAAGAATGTTCTGTGGGTAAATGAGATCAAAATAGAACTTTTTGGCTTGAATGAAAAGTATTATGTTTGGCGAAAGACACACACTACATTCCAAGATAAGAGGCAAATCCCATCTGTGAAACGTGGTGGCAGTATCATGGTTTGGGCCTGCTTTTCTGCCTCAGAACTAGAACAGTTTGCCATCATAGATGGAACTATTAATTCTGAATTGTACTAGCAAATTCTACAGGAAAATATTAGGGTATCTGTCCCTGAACTGAAGCTCAAGAGAAAGCTGGTCATGCAGCAAGACAACCCAAGACACCCAAGTCTTTAAGCCAAAGAATGGTTAAAGCAGAAGAAAGTTAATATTTTCAAATGGCCAAGTCAAAGTCCTGACCTTACTCCTATAGAAATGTTGTAGAAGGACATGAAGCAGGAATTTGTATAAGGAAGCCCACCAACATCCCTGAGTTGAAGCTGTTCTGTAAGGAGGAAAGGGCTAAAATGCCTCCAAACTGATGTGCAGGACTGATCAACAGTTATCAAAATGTTTAGTTGCAGTTATTGCTGACTGGGCGGGGGGGCATACCAGTTACTGAAAGCAAAGGGTCATATACTATTGCCACGCACAAATATGTAGCTTTGGATCATTTTGCTCAATAAATAAATGAACAACTATAATGCCTTTGATCCATTTGTTTAACTGGGCTCTCCATGTGTAGTTTTAGGAATTGCATGGATATCAGATCACATTTTGGGTAATAGTTATGCAGAAATACTGAAAATTCAAAGGGGTTCACAAACTTTAAGCTATAAAATGGTATATGGTTGAGAAGTTTCTAAGGCAAGCTTTTAGGCTTGCCGCAGGCCATGAAATTAATTCAGCATGGAACTGACTAATAATAATAATAAAAAAAATTAAAAGAAAGATGTGGTATTACAGGTTTTTCCCTTTACAGGTAGTCCTTGACTTATGAGCAGAATTGGGACCAGAACTTCCATCGCCAAGCAATGTGGTCATTAAGTGAATCATGCCCAATTTTACAACCTTTTTGCCATGGTCATTAAGTGAATCACACAGTCATTAAGCAAATCCAGCTTCCTCCATTGACTTTCTTGTCGGAAGCCAGCTGGGAAGGTCACAAATGGTGATCATGTGACCCTGGGACACTGCAACTGTTGTAAATACATGCTAGTTGCCAAGCACTCGAATTTTGATCACATGACCCCAGGGACACAGTGATGGTTGTAAGTACGAGGACCGGTCATAAGTCACTTTGTTCAGCACTGTTGTAACTTCGAATGGTCATTAAACAAATGTTCTTAAGTTGAGGACTACCTTTATTTGGATTCAAGGCTTCTTGTGTTTTGGCATAAAATAGAAGAGACCATCTGCTTAGAATAATTGATAAACAGTAAACCTCAAATGCTCAGATAACGTACTTTAAATGTGGCCGTGGGCACCAGTAGCATAAATAAGGAAATAATGTAGTAATCATAACAAGCAGAAGAGAAAGTTTTAGTTAGATGTCCTATAAGTCTATGAAACTGAAGTGAAAAATTCATAATGAAATGTTACTTTTACACAATAATTGATGTCTGAAATTTATTTTAGTAAAATAGACACTTCTCCGTTTTAGTTTTAGAAAAATTTCTAAAGAGAAATTAGACAGCACATAGCTGCTTCTTATATTTTCAGTTGAGGTTCATGGAAGGGATCGAGAAATGTAATAACATTAAACATAGTTGTAGCACAAGTATTCACTTACCAATTATTATAGGTTGTGGTTCACTTTTAACTCCAGTGCCAGCACTGGTACTTGCTGCAACTTCCACTCTGTACTGAATACCTGGATATAGGCCTCCAATAACTACAGATCGAATGGCTGCATCGACAGTCTTGTTGATATGAAATTTTGTTTCATTACCCAAGCACCATATCTGGAATACAGAGGTATTTGACAAAATATGACAAAATAACATTTAGCTTCTACCTGAGAAAAGAAAAATAATTTTGATCTGGATCTGGATTGTTTTCCCTCCCATTTAAACATTTAATGTGTATTGCAAAAGGGAATTTTTTTTTTTTGGAAATGTAAACTGCAGGTTGGAATCCATGGAAAGATGATTTGGTATCAAAACAGAACAAAACAAAACCCACAGGTATAAGACATGTCTTTACAGTAACATTTAGTTTCACCCTTAAAAAGATAAAATATCTTCACATAATATATTCTAAAATAATACTTATAGGATGGTGAAATATTGCATGCTGTGGACTCCTACATTTTATTACTAAAGTTTTTAACCCTTGATCCTATTATACATAGGTTATTAGGTTGAAAGGTGATACTTTTTTGTTTTACTATTTTATATGCTTATTCTATGTTAAAAAATACTGCTTAACCCCCCCCCCCCCCCATCACATCCATCCACAAAATATACATAACAGAAAAAAAAAAAAAAAAACTTTTTTTTTAATTATGAAAGAATAATTGTGGGAGACAGTCCACAACAGCAAAATTAGTTTTTACTCCCGAAATCTAAGATTTCCACCAACAATAACAACAACACAATAGAACAACTGTACTGAGGTAATTTCTAATCTGGTTTTGGAGCTGAAGACACCTAGTTCTGTGGCTGCATTATGTGCTACTCTTTGTACATCATATTTAGCCCAGGACCCATTTAAGTCCTTGTACCTTAAAAAAAAAAGTGTAAAATTAATATTTGTTGCCTGATATTTCTATTCTTCAGTCTGTTTGCTTTGAACAAAAGAGAATCATTGTCTGTTAATGTTGTTCATTAATAAATACTGTCTTGAAAACTGACAATGCTTTTGATCATACACCTGTAGGTGGTCAGGTAATTAAGGGAAAATATCTAATTGTATGTTTTTTCAATGAACCAGTCACAATCAATTTGATTTCCAAGAAATTAGGACTCTGAAGAATTTTTCTTTGTTTTGCTTTGTTAAGTTATACTGAAGTTTGTAACTGGAAATAAAATAAAGAATTCATCTTCATAAAGCAGCATTAGAAGCTTCCTGAGCCCTAATAGATCTAAGTGATATTGTCAAACATGATAGACAAATATAATATTGTAGCAGTCTATGTTCTTTTCTCAGAGGAAATAAAAATGTGTTGGTTTAAGCATCTGTACAGATAAAGAATAGTTTTAAAGTGAAAGAGAGTGCTGAAAAAACACACGGCAATTCAGACTTCATTATGAAATAACAGTTGCTTTCTTATGGTGAATCAGGAGCCATCAATATGTTTAAGTTATATATTATTTTTGTCTTATATTATTGCATTATTACTACTGTATTTTACTGTATACATTTATTTACTTATGGTCCAGGACCAAGTCACATATTTTAAAAATATAGCACACCATTAATATATGCATAAATAACAGTACATACAGATATAAAAGGAAGAACCCTTTAAAGTTAACATTTTATTGAAAGCGCCAGTTTCTATAAGCTAAGGCTATAAACAAAAATTCTGCTACTGCTCTCAAAACACCTGGGTATTGGTCATTTAATAAAAATACCTCAATCTCCTCATCATTGAGCGGAGTTTATCAGACTCAAGAGCGAGCTATTAGCTCTGATTGCCGGTACATATACAGTGGGCACTTTAAAAAGATGTCTGAAACAGACTCAACCTCTCTATTCAAGCAAAGACATACTTGATCTTCATAGGTTGAAGACTGGCCTATCAATCAGCTGTCATCCTAGTAGGGACAACATCTGTGCAGGCTAAGGAGAAGGCCCTTCTATGTGGGGTGTGCAGAATCTTATAGAAGTAATTGGAGAGTGTCCAGGGGGAGAGAGCAATTGTCTGTATGAGAGATGGGAAAGTTTGGCTCTGTCTATCTGAATGTGTAAGTCCCATATCCTCTGCTTAAGTTCTGCCAAGGCTTTTCTAGGCATAAAGCAAGTAGGGCTGAAATTGACCGTCCACACTGTCTCAGATCTTGATCAGTTTGTTTTTTTCAGAGTAGACTGATGTATATCATATAGAATGAGATGTACCAATGAGGTTCCCCAAATCATTTGTTTTGCCCAGAATCTCAGACAACATAATCTTGCCTGAGCTTCAAATTAGATGTGATTTAGTTCTAATCTGGTAATAGAATTAGAATATATAATCTGTTATACATTGTAAACTGCCACTGTATATGTACCGGCAATCAGAGCTAATAGCTCGCTCTTGAGTCTGATAAACTCCACTCATGATGAGGAGATTGAGGTATTTTTATAAAATGACCAATACCCAGGTGTTTTGAGAGCAGTAGCAGATTAAGATGTGACATTTAATGCATTTTTAGAGGGAAAAAAATATCCGACATGGTAAACATCAATCTCATCATTAATAGATGCATTCAAAACAAAATTATTCCATGTAACATGAATAATAGGCATCACATTGCAGATTCTTTTACATACTTAAAAAGATTCCATAAACCATTCCTATGCTATATCTACTTTAATATGATTCTTGGCACACCTTGTAATGTATTTGGGACTCATTCAGTTTGTGAACTCTAATGAAGTAGATAAGGTGTTATTTAATGTTTCTCCTGCCACTTAAGGGCTGCACCATACTCCACCTGGCTCCTTTAGGAGACAGATATCCTCTGTATGTACCCTAAAGTAACAGATGTAATGCCAAATATAAATGGATTATTCTCAAAGCATTTTTGTTCTTTTTGATAAAGGCAAAGCTTACCATTTTTATCAGAACAATTAGTAACAGAATCATACTGCAATTCTTGATTTCCATATTGCTAATGAAAATTATTTTATTAGAAAAAAGATGAGATAATGCCCATAGCAGTTGTGCAAAACTGATTTTCATTGAAATCATTAGAAATCAACTATTCAACAAAAAATATTTTGGTTACAGACATGTTCACTCTGAGAACTATATATAAATGCTTCTGAAGTTGCAATCTTTAGAGAGATTTTATTTTAAGAAAATGGTTGTACAATTAACCTGGGTTTTTTGAGCTAATACCTCTATTCCTGCTGGAGAACACTATTGCCTATTTATGATAGGTAGCTAAGAATCTAGTCTTTTGCCAAATTAACCAACAGTATTCTGCATAATTTAGCAACTCTGGGTAGTGCTGCTGTAAAAATATAAAGCATCAGCATTTAATTGGGAAAAAAAAAAGAATTTATTACAAAAGCATCAACTTATAATGACTTTACTAACAAGGCATGTTATTTAAGGCTATCCCAGAAAGAAAAGGGGAGAACAAGAGAGGAAAACCCCAAAAAGATGATCTCCTGAAGGCAAAAAGGGCAAACAAGGAGGAACAAGTGAGGTCAGATAATTTGCTGGCAATTTTCTGGGTATTGGGAAATTTGAGGTATATTAAGATAAAGGTATCAGCTTTGATGGGAAAATCAGATATTGTCTTTGGAAAAAAAAAAATTGTAGAGAATTGATGGTAGAGACTAGAGTGTCTTATCATAAATGTGCAATGGGTACAGGTCTTGGTATTTTCAGTTAACAAGGGTTGCATTTGGGTGCTGATAATATTAGATTATGTTAGGTTGGGTAGGCTGGGTTAGATTAGGTTATTTATTTATTTAGCAAATTTATATAGCCACCCATCTCATTGAAGCAACTCTGGGCGGTGTACAACAATTAGATAAAAATACAGATATTGAAAAAAAACACCCTGAAAAAATATGAAAAAAACACATTATTAAATACCATTAAAAAAAAATACAAACCATAGGGGAAGGAAGAATAAAAATGCCCCCTTCAGCAATGGAGCCATCTAAGCAGGGAGATGAAATGAGAAAAGAGATGTCTAGAGTGCTGCTGGTGCACAACAAGGGATGAACTCAACTGAACATGGGTTAGAGCAGCTATTAAGGCCTATCTAGTGGCAGTAAGGGCAGCAGAATGGCAATGCTTCTCTGCAGATACCCACCCTGCAGCCTTGCTTTGGGTGACTTGGGCCCTTTTGGGTAGAGGGGACTTGGAGAGTCACTTACAGGGCTGTGCAGAGGAATTTGCTGAGCCTTTGTCAGACAAAGTTGCCCAAATTCATTCTTAAGACTGCACGTCTTAAGGAGGTACTCGAGGAAGATTCTTGCCCTGTTATCTGGAATTGGTTTGAACCTGTTGGGCCTGAGGAAGTGGACAGGGTTCTTAGGTCTGTCAGCTCAGCCACCTGCTCTTTAGATCCATGCCCCTCCTGGCTAGTTAAACTGCCCAGGGGATGTCATGTACGTGGGTTCTAGTGGTGATGAATTATTCCTTGAGTGAGGAGTAGTTCCTCCACTTCTTAAGGAGGCATTGGTTCACCCCCTCCTCAAGAAGCCATCACTGGATCCCACCATACTGGACAATTTTCACCCGGTATCTCATGTCCCCTTTTTGGGAAGGTGATTGAGAAGGTGGTCACACAGCAGCTTCAAAGAGCTCTGGATGAAACAGATTATCTGGGCCTCTTTCAGTCAGGATTTAGGCTTGACTATGGAATGAAAATGGCATTGGTCATGCTTTTAGATGATCTCTGGCAGGATGAGGGTTGTCCATCCATCCTTGCTCTTCTTGACCTCTGTCAGACTTTCCAGGTAGACCAGACAGGAAACACGACCAGATGAGCTAGTTCTATTTTATTGCAAGGCTACATTAACAGAATTTTGCAAGTCTGAAAGTACATATCTCCCGCCGTCTCCTTTAGAGCCCAAGAAGGAAGGGAGGGTCCCTTCTGAGCCTCTTGCTCTGCCCACTATGCAGCTACAGGCTATGCCCTCTCTTATCTGACAGTTCCCTAGGCAGCATCTCTTTGCTCCATCTCCCAAAGTCTTTCCCACATACCATTACATCTCTCAGCAGCCTTAAATACCATCGGCCATGTTATCCTTCTAGACCGGCTCTGGGGATTGAGGATGGGTGGCACTGTATTGTGCTGGTTCTCCTCCTTTCTCCAGGATCAGTTTCAGTAGGTGGTGATTAGGAAGGAGAGATCCCACCCTCAGCCCCTACTTTGTGGGTTTCTGCAAGGGGTCAGTGCTCTCACTTCTCCATTTTAACATCTACATGAAGCTGCTGGGTGAGATTATCCATCAGCCATGGGGTGTGGTATCATCAGTATGCTGATGATACCCAGTTATATCTTTTTGCCCCTGGTGAATTAAGTGATGCTGTTGATGCCCTATCCTGGTGTTTGGAGGCTGTAAGGGTCTGGATGGGGAGCCATAGGCTTCAACTAAACTCTGGCAAGACTGAGTGGCTTTGGGTTTTGGGGCCCTCCAGTTCAGGGACTATGCCATCTTTTGTACTGGATGGGTTGCACTGCCCCAAACAGACCCGATGTGGAATCTGGGGGTCCTTGTAGATTTGTGACTCCTGTTCGAAGAGGAGGTGGCAGTCATGGCTAGGAGGGCCTGCGCACAGCTTTGTGTTGTGTAGCAGTTGCGCCCGTTCCTGGATTGAGAAACTCTGCTCATAGTCATTCACGCCTGGTCACCTCCCAGACAGACTGCAATGTGCTTTATATGGGGCTGCCCTTAATGAGTATTCAGAAGCTTCAGCTGGTGCAAATTGTGGTGACACAAGCAGTGATGTGTGCCCCTAAAATGGCACATGTAGCACTTCTGCTCCACAAGCTGCATTGGTGACCAGTGTTCTGGGTGCAATTCAAGGTGTTGTTTTTGATCTTTAAAGCCTTTCATGGCATGGGACTGGGTTATTTGAGGGATCTCCTCCACCCACTTGTATCTGCCCATCCCATTAGGTCTGGTAGAAGAGGTATGCTGGGGTCCTGTCCACTAAGGAGCTTCATCTGGCAGGACCCAGGAGACAGGCCTTTTCTGCCATGGCACCTACCCTGTGGAACATCACCCCCCACCCCCAAGTTGAAATTGGCCCCATCCTTGATATCCTTTAGGAAGTCCCTTAAAACATGTTTGTGCCAACAGGCTTGGAGGTCCCAAGGTGGTGGTGAATTAGTGAGATGGCTTTATTACCCATAACAGTAACTCTCTCTGCTATTCCATTATTAGTAAATTTGTGTTTTAATTGTTGAATTTTTAATTGTTAGTTTTTATGATTGTCTTTTTTATTGTACGCTGCCCAGTCACAAATGTGTGAGATGGGCAGCTATATAAACATGATGTATAAACAAACAAACAAACAAATAAGTGTATGCTTATGAAGACAGCTGGGAGCAGCTTCTGAAGAAGCCACATGAGCCTTGAAAAGAAGGAGCTGCTTTAATTATTCAAAAATAAATAGTTCATCTGCACTTCCATATAATTAGAGCAAGTTTGGTGTAGTGGTTAAGGCATCAGGCTAGAAGCTGGGCAACTGTGAGCTCTAATCCTGCCTAGGCACAAAGTCAGCTGGGTGACCTCGGGTCAGTGAATTTCTCTCAGCCCTAGGAAGGAGGCAGTGGCAAACCACTTCTGAAAAACCTTGCCAAGAAAACTGCAGGGACTTGTCCAGGCA